TGATAAGAAACTTCAGCAAAGTTTTAAGATACACAATCAATCTGCAGAAATCACAAGCATTCCCATACACCAATAACAGACTTAAAGAGAGCCAAATCAAGAGCTAACTCCCATTCACAATTGCTACAAAGAGAATAAAATACCTAGGAATACAATTAACAAAGGATGCAAAGGACCTCTTCAAGGAGAACTACAAACCACTGCTCAAGGAAATAGGAGAGGACACAAACAGATGGAAAAACATTCCATGCTCATGGTTAGAAAGAATAAGTATTATGAAAATGGCTATACTGCCCAAAGTAATTTATAGATTCAACACTATCCCCATCACCTTCTTCACAGAATTGGAAAATCACCTTAAACTTCATACGGAACCAAAAGAGAGCCTGCATAACCAAGCCAATCCTCAACAAAAAGGACAAAGCTGGATGCATCATGGTACCTGACTTCAAACTATACTACAAGTCTACAGTAATCAAAACAGCATGGTACTCATACCAAAACAGAGATATAGGCCAATGGAACAGAACAGAGGCCTTGGAGGCAATGCCACACATCTATAACCATCTAATCTATGACAAACCTCACAAAAACAAGCAATGGGGAAAGGATTCCCAGTTTAATAAACGGTATTGGAAAAACTGGCTAGCCATCTGCAGAGAGCTGAAACTGGACCCCTCCTTACACTCTACACTAAGATTAACTCCAGACGGATTAAAGATTTAAACATAGGATGGAGGCAGCAAACCACATTGCCATGTATGTACCTATGCAACAATCCTGCATGATCTGTACATGTACTCCGGAACCTAAAGTATAATTTAATAAGAAAAAAGAGAGAGAGAGAGAGATGCAGCAATGGTTCTAGAAGAAAACACACACACACACACACACACACACACACACACACACACACACACACACAGAGAAGTCCTGAATCTTTATTTTACCATTTTTCTGAAATGACTGTGTGTGCTTACATCTACATAATAGCTATCACCACTTTCTGATCAATTTTAAAAACTAATTCTTTCAATAAGTGTTTTTCACAAAAAATCCTGGATTCAATTCTAAAATCAGAATAAACTATGCAAACTTTGAATCCAAAAAAAAAGAAAAGATTTAAACATAAAACCTAATGCCATAAAAATCCTAAAAGAAAACTAGGCAAAACCATTCAGGACATAGGCATTGGCAAGGACTTCATGACTAAAACACCGAAAGCAATGGCAACAAAAGCCAAAATAGAAAAATTGGATCTAATAAAACTTATCAGCTTCTTCATAACAAAAGAAACAATCATCAGACTGAACTGGCAACCAACAGAATGGGAAGAAATTTTTGCAATCTACCCATCTGTCAAAGGGCTGATATCCAGAATCTACAAAGAACTAAACAGATTAACAAGAAAAAAAAAACATTCAAAATTTGGTGAAGGATATGAGCAGACACTTTACAAAAGAAGACATATATGAGGCCAACAAACATATGAAAAAATACTCATTATCACTGGCCATCAGAGAAATGCAAATCGAAAATGGTATCACATTGATATACCATCTAACACCAGTTAGAAAAGCAATCATTAAAAAATCTGGAGACAGATGCTGGAAAGGATGTGGAGAAAATAGGAACACTTTTACACTGTTGATGGGAGTGTAAATTAGTTCAACCATTGTGGAAGACAGTGTGGCAATTCCTCAAGGATCTAGAAATAGAAATTTCATTTGATCCAGCAATCCTATTGCTGGGTACATACCCAAAGGATTGTAAATCCTTCTGTTATAAAGACACATGCACATGTATGTTCATTGCACACTGCTTACAATAGCAAAGACCTGGAACCAACCCAAATGTCCATAAATGATAGACTGTACAAAGAAAATGTGGCATATATACACCATGGAATACTATGCAGCCATTAAAGAGGATGAGTTCATGTCCTTTGTAGGGCCATGGATGAAGCTGGAAACCATCATTCTCAGCAAACTGACACAAGAACAGAAAACAAAACACCACATGTTCTCACTCATAGGCAGGTGTTAAACAATGAGAACACATGGGCACAGGGAGGAGAACATCACACACTGGGGTCTGTTGGGGGAGTGGGTAGCTAGGGGAGGGACAGCAGTGGGTGGGGAAGTAGGTGAGGAATAACATTAGGAGAAATACCTAATGTAGGTGATGGGGGAATGGAGGCAGCAAACCACTCATATGTTACATGAATATACATATGTAACAATCCTGCAAGATCTGCACATGTACCCCGGAAATTAAAGTATACAAAAAAATATCTTAAAGGCAGCTAGAGAAAAAGGTCAGGTCACATACAAAGAGAATCTTGTCAAGATACCAGGGGACGATCAGTCTATTTTCAATATTTATTTAAAAAGGAAATTAGAAGAAAGAATTTTCTATCCTGCCAAACTAAGTTTCATAAGCAAAGAAGAAATAAAATCTTGTCCAAACAAGTAAATACCAGGAAATTCTGTTACCATTAGACCAGCCTTATAAGAGATCATTAAAAGAGTTCTAAATATGTAAATGAAAGACCTGCTACCACAAAACGCACTTAAGTATATAGCCCACAGATTCTATAAAGCAGTCACACAATAGAAATTGCAAAGCAACCAGCTAACAATTTCACAATATAATCAAAACCTCAGGTAAAAGGCAAAGAGTAGTACATTGGATTAAAAATAAGACCCATCCTTCTACTGTCTTCAGAAATACAAAGCCCATCTTTGGTAGAAGTAGAAGAGCCATCTCAAACCTAGAAGACCCATCTCAAACCTAGAAGACCCATCTCAGACCTAGAGAACCCTAAAGAACCTTCCAAAAAGCTCCTGGAACTGTAACACAACTTCAGTGAAATTTCAGTACACAAAATAAATGTGTAAAAATCAGTGGCATTTTTATACACTAAAAATTTTCATGCTGAAAGCTAAATCAAGAACCCAATCCCATTTACAATAGCCACAGAAAGAAAACCAGGAATACAGCTAAAAAGGGGGGCAAAAGTTCTCTACAAGGGAGAACTACAAAACACTGCTGAACAAAATCATAGATGACACAAACAAATAGAAAAACAGCTCATGCATATGGATTGAAACAATCAATATCATTAAAATGACTAGACTGCCAAAGCAAACTACAGATTCAGTGTTATTTCTATCAAACTACCAGTGTCATTTTTCACAGAATCAGAAAAAAAACTATTGTAAAATTCATATGGAGCCAAAGAAGAACCCAAATAGCCAAAACAATCCTAAGCAAAAAGTACAGTTGAAAGCTTCACATAAGTTTACTTCAAATTATACTGTAAGAGTACAGTAACCAAGACAACATGTAACTGGCACAAAACAAATTGAATAGAAGTAGAGAAGCCAGAAATAAAGCCACACTCCTGTAGCTAACTGATCTTCAACAAAGTTGACAAAAATAATCAATGAGGAGATGAGTATCTATTCAGTAAATTGAACTAGGATAACTGGCTAGCTATATGCAGAATGAAACTGGAACACTTCCTTGCACCACATACAAAGATTAACTTGAGATGGAATAATGATCTAAATTTAAGACCTAAAACTATAAGAATTCTATAGAAAAAAAATCTATGAAATATCATTCTAGATACAGGCTTTGTCAAAGAATTTATGAATAATTCCTCAGAAGCAACCGGAACCAAAATGAATATTGACAAGTGGGACCTAATAAAAGAGCTTCTGCACAGCAAGAAAAACTATCAACAGAATAAACAGGCAATCTACAGAATGGGACAAAATATTTGCAAACTGTGAATCCAACAATGGTCCAATATCAAGAATTTATAAGAAACTTAGACAACTCAACGAGTTAAAAAACAACCCCATTAAAAAGTGGGCAAAAGACATATTCTTCAAAGAAGACACACATGACCAACAAGCATATGACAAAAATGCTCAACATCACTAATCATCAGATAAATGCAAATCAAACCACAATAAGATATCTCATACCAGTCAGAATGGATATAATTAAAAAGCCAAAAAATAAGAGATGTTGGTGAGGCTGCAGAGAAAAGGGAACACTTATACACTACTGGTGGGAATGTCAGTTAGTTCAGCCATTATGGGAAGCAGTTTGGAGCTTTCACAAAGAACTAAAAACAGAACTACCATTTGATGCAACAATTCCACTGCTGGGCATGCACCCAATGGAAAACAAATTGTCCTACCAAAAAGACACATGTGCTTGTATGTCCTTCCTTGCACTAGTCACAATAGGAAAGAACCAACCAATGGTATGTGGCATAAAGAAAATGTGTTATATATACACCATGAAATGCTATGCAGCTGTGAAAAAAATCATATCTTTGCAGCAACATAGATGCAGCTGAAGGCCATTATCTTGAGAGAATTAATGCAGCAACAGAAAACCAAATACCACATGTTCTCATATAAAAGTGGGACACAAATATGGAAACAATACACACTGGCAATTACTATAGAGGATAGAGAGATATAAAAGCAAGAGCTGAAAAACTACCTATTGGATACTATCCTCACTACCTGGGTGATGGAATTATTTGTACCCTAAACTTTAGCATCACACAATATACCTATGTAACAAACTTGAACATGCACTTCCTGAATCTAAAATAAAAGTTGAAAAAAATTTTTTTAAAAGATATTTTATATCATATCATTTCAAAATCAGCCAATCAATGATGATAACTAAATACAGAATTTAAAGTAAACTTGATTTTAAAACTAAACTGGTCCTCCGTCTCCGAGGTGGGATGCAGATATTAGTGAAGACCCTTACTGGTAAGACCATCACCCTCAAGGTCAAGCCCAGTGACACCACTGAGAACGTCAAGGCAAAGATCCAGGACAAGGAAGGCATCCTTCCTGACCAGCAGAGGTTGATCTTTGCCAGAAAGCAGCTGGAAGATGGGTGCACCCTGTCTGACTACAACATCCAGAAAGAGTCCACTCTACATCTGGTACTTTTTTTTAAAGTGTTCCAACGTTATTTACAACCAGACAGCCCTGCTACCACCCACCCCCTCCCCATGCCTCCTCAGCATTGCTCTGGGGGAAGAGCTGGATGAACTATGACCCTTCTGCCAAGCCCAGGTGCTAGGAGGAACCACTTGCTTGAGATGTGCAGGGTGGACTCATCACTTCTGGGCTTGTGCACTGGCCCATTGAATCTTGTCAGCCATGGCCCCATCTGTGGCTTCCATGCAGTGGGACAATACGAGGCTTAGCTCAACCTCGTTCAGGTGTTCGATGGCCACATCTGCAACCTGAGCCACATCGCCAATGAGAAGCAAAGCCTTGACCTTCTGCTCAGGACCCACATGGGAAGCATACTTCTTGATTTTGTTGTGTTGTTTCATGCAGATCTCCACAAAAGGCAGGTAGCCAGTGGGTGATTTATTGCTCTTGGAAAACTTCTCTAGGTCTTCCCAGTCTTCCAAATCTGCCAGGACAGTCAGCTTCAGCCACCAGAGCCTCTTGACAGGGATGCGGAAGTCACGTGCCAGCTGCTCTGCACGCTTGTTGCAACCACCAAGAATGAGGGCGGTAAAAATGTTATACAGAGACAGGTGTAGGAACTGGCCCCCTAGCTTGTATTCTAAGCTCCGCCATAGCCATAGGAGCTGCATTTGATCCTCTGTAGCCTTGGCTGCAAACTCATTCTAGGCCTTGTAGAAGGCATCGGTGGCTGTCCTCAATCTGCTTTTCTGCAGCATAGCTGGCTCAGATGTGGAAGCTGCCCAATTCCTGGTGATTGTAAAGGTCCTTCAGCATCTCTAGCTCTTGATGCTTACAGAATGGTCAGTACAAACTCAGGGCCATGGGCTGATTCTGAAGAGTCATGAAAAAAAATCTCCTCGGTTCAGCTCATTCTTCAGGTGCAGCAACACTGTGAACACCAGGTCAGTCCCCACTCTCAATGGCCTTGCTTAGCACCAGTTTGCTCCTCTTCATCTTTAGGAGAAGGGGTATCTGATCCCCTGAGCATGGCTCATACTCCAGCAGGTTGATGGCCAGTTCCGTGTGGCCACAGCCATAGGCTCATGCAGCAATGTCAGAGTAAGAGACACCAGGCATGTCCCCCAGCTTCTGGTTAATGGCTCGAGCCACATCCTCATCTGAGACATCCTTCTGTTGCACCTTGTAGGCCCAAAGGGCCAGGATTCTGCTGATGCCCTGTACTTCAGGAAAGTGCAAGTACTTGCCTATCTGGATGACAGGGGATCCTTAACACAAGCCTGTCCAGCAGCACCTGGATGGTGAGCTGCTTGTGTTGGCTATAGGTGAGTGGGATCCCAATGTGATAGTCCCTAATGGCATTGAGCACATGCAGGTCTTGACACATTTGCATGAAGCTGTCGGGTGGAAATCTGTCCAGGAAACACTTTCCGAAGGAGGCGGCCCCGAGCAGACTTTTCCGCATGTCTGGCTGGTACTCATGTCCTGCAGCTTCAATACACTGCTGCACGGCCTGGGTCAGCTGACCCAGCTCCTGGATCTCCCGCAGGTACTCATCTGCCTTCTGGCTCTCTTTCTCATATTCCTTCTGAGCCTCCAGGAGCAGCGCCCCAGGGGCTATTGAGGCAATTTTGAAGATCTCCTTGCTGGCCTCTGGAACCTCATGCAGAAACTCATGGGTGCTGCGGGAGAAGATGCAGACACCATGGAGCTCAGGTACCAGGTAGGAGTCCTCGTCCAGCACAAACTGGGTGCTCTCAGGTGCATCGCCCACCATGATCAGCCACCTCTCCCAGGCCGCCAACACAGCCCTCTCCTTGCTACGAGGACAGCTGCATCAGACATAGACAAGCAAGCTGGAAACTTGTGTGGGTGAACGTGGGTAAGAAAGAACTACCTGTGACTAGGTATGTTCAAAATGGCGGCTTTATCATCCCTTCCCTTTGGCAGCCACGTGTACCATAAGGAGCAGACAAAATGGCACAAGTCAAGTGGGAAGTCCTATTTGCATAATAAGATTAGAGTGGGGTGGCCGGCCTTCCCCACCTACTATGTAAATGTCACACTTGATTGAACCAATCATCTGCTTTGGAGGTGCCCAGATGTTGCAGTTGAACTCACACAGCTTCTCCTTGAGTGATGCCGTCCCCATTCAGATGTAACCTGTGTCTGTGAAGAGTGCCAGATGTTGGTAGGTGAAGGAGACAGCCATCTGCAGGAAGCTGCTTACTCCTGGGGCCAGGCCATGGGGGTCACTGTGAAGCAAGTTGCATGGTTCAGGAGGTATGGATCAGATACCACAGCCAGAATAATGTGTGCCACTCTGTCCTGGCACAGCACAGTCCACAAGAAGGGTACACTTTGCAGACCTGGCACCTCTGGCATCCTGTGGAGTTTTAGGTCACCCATATTGGCACTAAGGGTGAAGCAGTGCAGCTCAATGTACAGGCTACTATTTGTTAGAAAATGATTTGGGGCTGCTTTTCATTAAAAAGAGAAACCTTACCAAGGACTCCCAAATGCTTACTATCTCCCTAAGTAATTTCTTCTTAATTTCTGTATCAGCAAGTACTCAATTTCCAACTTCAAAAATTACTACAAAGTATAATAATCAAAACAGTGTCGTACCAGCATACAGACACCAAGACCAATGGAATAAAACTGAAATCAAGAAATAAACCTAAACATCTATGGCCAATTTACTTCGATCAAGGGTGCCTAGACCATTCAATCTGGGGGAAAAATTCTCTTCAATAAATGATGATAAGACCATTGGATGATGAAATGCAAAAGAATGAAGCTGGAACCTTCCCTACCTCACTCCAAATGAAAAATATAACAAACAATGACTGGAAAAACTTAAATATAAGAGCCAAAACTATAAAACTCTTAGAATAAAACACAGGAGTAAATCTTTATGACTTAATATTTGGCAACAGATTTATAAATTTGATACCAGAGTGGCAAAAGAAAAAATAGATAAACCAAACTTCATCAAAATTAAACTCTGTCCAACAAGAATATAATTAAGAATGTGAAATAGCCACTGACAGAATGGGAGGAAATATTTTTATATTATGTATATGTGAGAGTTTAATGATTTGAATACATAAACAATTCTAAGAGCTTAAAAAGAAAAATAAAGGCAACTTAAGTTAAATAAAAAATGGACTTAAATGGCATTTCTCCAAAGAAGATATACAAATAAGTAGTAGTATATTAAAAGAAGTTCAGAATCACTGATCATTAAATACAAGTTAAAACCACAATGAAAGCTGGGTGTGGTGGCTCACACATGTAATCCCAGCACTTAGGGAGGCCAAGGTGGGCAGATCATCTGAGGTCAAGCGTTCTAGACCATCCTGGCTAACATGCTGAAACACCATCTCTACCAAAAATATAAAAATTGGCCAGGTGTTGTGGTGCATGCCTGTAATCCCAGCTACTCTGGAGGCTGAGGCAGGGGTATTGCTTGAACCCAGGAGGCAAGGTTTCAGGGATCTGAGATCATGTCACTGCACTCCAGCCTGGGCAACAGAGTGAGACTCTGTCTCTAAATAAATCAATAAATTCACATTGAGATACCACTTTGCATTCACTAGGATGGCTTTAATAAATACAGAAAATGACAAGTATTAGCAACTATGTGGCAAAATAGAAATCCTTCTACATTGCTGGAAGGAATATAAAGTGCCACATTCACTGTAAAATTTGACTCTTATACAAGAAGATAAACATAAAATTACCATTTGACTCAGCAACTCAACTCCTGAGAATATACCCAAGAATAATTTAAATATGCTCATAAAGAAACATACACAATGGTCAACACAAGATTATCTATAAGATCCCAAAGTTGGAAACAATGCAAATGTCCATAAACAGATGAATAACAAATTGTGATATATGTGCATGGAAAATGAAATATTTTTCAGCCACAAAAGAGAATGAGGTGCTGATATATATGCTGCAACTTAGATGACTCTTCAAAACATTATAAGTGAAACAACCCAGAAATAACAGGTTACATATGTTATGAGTCCTTTATATAGACATAACAGGCAATATCATAGAGACAGAAAGATTACAGGTTATTACATGATGTGGTAAGGGAATGGAGTGATTATTTAATCAATATGATATGTTTTTGTGGAGTGATAAAAACATTTTGAAACCAGAGAAAGCTAGTGGTTTTACAACACTGTGAAAATATTAAATACCACTTAAGTGTACTCTTTAAACTGGTTAATCTATGTTATGTGAATTTCACTTCAATTTTTTAAATGGCATAACTCCCTGTTCTACAGATTTAATGCAATCCTGTCAAAATGCCCTTTGGTTCCTTTGAAGAAAAGCAAGTTCTTAGAGACCTACAGAGACTTAGACTCCCAATTTGTTAGTCTGCGTCTTTAATTAGGGCATTTAGCCCATTTACATTTAAGTTTAATAGTGTTATTTGTGAATTTGATCCTGTCATTATAATGCTAGCTGGTTATTTTACCCATTAGTTGACACAGTTTCTTCATAGTGTCAATGGTCTTTATCATTTGGTATGTTTTTGCAGTGGCTGGTACTAGTTGTTCCTTTCCATATTTAGTGCTTCCTTGAGGAGCTCTTGTAAGGCAGGCCTCATGGTAACACTTTCTCAGCATTTGCTTGTCTGTGAGGGATTTTATTTCTCCTTTACTTATGAAGCTTAGATTTTCTGGATATGAAATCTGGGCTAAAAATTATATTATTTAAGAATGTTAAATATTGGTCCCCAGTCCCTTCTGGCTTGTAAAGTTTCTCCTGAGAGATCTGCTGTTAGTCTGATGGCCTTCCCTTTGCGGGTAACCTGAACTTTTTCTCTGTAAGTCCTTAACATTTTTTCCTTCATTTTAACCTTGGTGAATCTGATGATTATGTGTTTTGGGATTGCTATTCCCAAGGAGTATCTTTGTGGTGTTCTCCATAGTTTCTGAATTTGAATGTTGGCCTGCCAGGCTGGAATGGGGAAGTTATCCTGGATAATATCATGAAGAATGTTTTCCAACTTGGTCTCATTCTCCCTATCACTTTCAGGTACACCAGTCGAATGTAGGTTTGGTCTTTTCACACAGTCTTATATTTTCTGGAGGCTTTGTTCGTTGTTTTTCATTCATTTTTTTCTAATCTTGTCTTCATGCTTTATTTCACTAAGTTGATCTTCAATCTCTGATATCCTCTCTTCTGCTTACTTGATTCATCTATTGATACTTGTATATGTTTTGTAGAAGTTCTCACGCTGTGTTTTCCAGCTTCATCTGGCCATTTATGTTCTTCTCTAAACTGGTTATTCTAGTTAACAATTCCTTTAACCTTTTTTCAAGGTTCTTAACTTCCTTGTACTGGGTTAGAACATGCTTTTTTAGTGTGGTGGAGTTTTTTATTACCCACCTTCTGAAGCCTGCATCTGTCAATTCATTAAACTCATTCTCTGCCCCATTTTCTTCCCTTGCTGGTGAGGAGTTGTGAACCTTTGGAGGAGAAGAGGCATTCTGGTTTTTGAAATGTTCATCATTTTTTCACTAGTTTTTCCTCATGTTTATGGATTTATCTACCTTTGGTCTTTGATGCTGGTGACCTTTGGATGGAGTTTTTGTGTGGACATCCTTTTTGTTGATGTTGATGCTATTTCTTTCCATTTGTTAGTTTTCCTTCTAACACTTAGGCCCCTCTTCTGCAGGTCTGCTAGAGTTTGCTGCAGCTCCACTCCAGACCCTGTTTGCCTGGGTATCACCAGCAGAGGTTGCAGAACAGCAAATATTGTTGCCTGTTCCTTTTCCTGGAAGCTTTGTCACAGAGGAACACCTGCCAGACACCAGCCAGAGTTCTTCTGTCTGAGGTGTCTGTCGACCCCTGCTGGGAAATGTCTCACAGTCAGGAGGCATGGGGGTCAGGGACCCACCTGAGGAGGCAAACTCTGTCTTTTAGAGATCTTGAGTGCTGTGCTGTGCTGTGAGATCTGCTGCTCTCTTCAGAGCTGGCAGGCAGGAATGTTTAAGTCTGCTGACGTTGTGCCCGCAGCCACCCCTTTCCCCAGGTGCTCTGTACTAGGGAGATGGGAGTTTTATCTATAAGCCCCTGACTGGAGCTGCTGCCTTTCTTTCAGAGATGTCCTGCCCAGGGAGGAGGAATATAAAGAGGTAGTCTGGCTAGAGGAGCTTTGCCAAGCTGCAGTCGACTCAACCCAGTTTGAATTTCCTGGAAGCTTTGTTTACACTGTGAGGGGAAAGCTGCCTACTCAAGCCTACCCCCATCAAGCTCCAGCATCCTAGGTCAACTTCAGACTGCTGTGCTGGCAGTGAAAATTTCAAGCCACTGGATCTTAGCTTGCTGAGCTCCATGAGGGTGGGTTCCACTAGACCACATGGCTCTCTGGCTTCAGCCCCTTTCCAGGAAAGTAAAGAGTTCTGTTTCACTAGCACTTCTGATGTCACTGGGGTGTTAAAAAAAAGAAAAAACTCCTGCAGCTATCTTGGTGCCTGCCCAAATGGCCACCACGTTTTGTGCTTGAAACCCAGGGCTCTGGTGGTATAGGCACCTTAGGGAATCTCCTGGTCTGTGGGTTGTGAAGACCATGGAAAATGTGTAGTATATGAGCTAGATAGCACCATCCCTCATGGCAGGGTCCCACATGGCTTCCCTTGGCTAGGGGTGGGAGTTCCTTGACCCCTTGTACTTCCCAGGTAAGACACCACCCCATCCTGTTTCTGCTCACCCTCCATGGGCTGCACCCACTGTCTAACCAGTCCCCGTGAGATGAACCAGGTACCTCAGTTAGAAATGCAGAAATCGCCTGCCTTCTATGTTGATCTTGCCGGAATACGCAGACTGGAGCTGTTCCTATTTGGCCATCTTTATTGTTTGGGTAGATTATTTTTATGTAAACAATTTTGTCTACGTACTCTAATTATTTAACAATTTAATTTTGCATTTTCCATGATGCTTACTGGATATTCATGCATACAATAAAAACTTAAAGTGCTTCTCAAGCAATTCTGCTTGACTAGTTAAACATCCCTAGTAAACACAGAAGTAGTCAATGAATCACAAATACAGAAGCAGTCACATAACTAAGCTTTTGTTAACATTTTACCTTCTTCATTTTGATCAGGAAGCAATCAATGAAGTCCCGAGGGTTGTTAATGTCTACCGATTCTTGGTGTTCTTTTACTTTCTCCAAAATAAAACTTTTTATCAAAGCAACGTTTTTAAGTAACTTGTTATGGGTTCCCGGGAAATAATCAATGATAGGAGGTAAACTATTGCAGATCTAAGAGAAAACAATAATTTATTAAATTAAAAGCATTTAATAAAGGCATATATACCATATACCATGCTCTGGTTGTAAATTACAGCTACAAATATACATAAAATATATTGTATATTTTGATGGGGAAATTTTTTATTGTACATATGTAGTAATTCTCTGATAATAAAAGATTTGATGAAGAAAATTTTGACCAGAAAATCAAAGATGATAATCATATCCTAGACTCATACCTCCTTTTTATAGTATAAAAGCATCTTTATTATATTAACTCTCTTACTTTTTACAATTCTTCTCTACGATCGTGAAATATAAGATAGTATAAATTAATACATTCACATTTTGTAGATGGCAGCATAGGTTAAGAGAGTTTGGACAATCTGATTAATAGTACAAAGCTAGTCCCTGCTTTATTGATTTCTATCAAGCAGCCTCTAAAATGAAATCAGCATTTTAGAAGTAGGAGGGGCTCAAAGTTACTTCAAATTCCGACTGTGTACCAGAGCAGTTAAACGACTTCTCTAATATTACACAATTATTATTTAGGTAGAATATAAAATATGCCAATTCAGCAAAGGGTAAAAGTGTGATGTCTATTTATGGTTCATACACCATAAAACCAATAATTTTTTCATTCCTAAC